CTGCTGGTTCGCACTCGGGGTCATCCAAGCTGACCCTCCCAACCTTGAAATGGAGCATTTCCCAGCACAGATCAACACAGAGCTCAGGCAGACTCACAGCGCAGGGGGAGTTCTCTGCTGTGCCCCTTTGCCAGCAGTGACCCAGCTCCCAGAGCAGAGTTGGCTGCAGGGACTTTGTGTTTTGCAGAAATATTTTGCTCCCCTTCCTTAATGAGCCTGCGAAGCATCAGCTTCACTTGGAAGATGCTGAGAGGAGATGCTGGAGTGCCTCCAGCCCCGGTGCTCCATGCAGCGCATTGATGGGTTTCTCTAATTAGGGACAAAAGGAACTGTTATCAGTTCCTTTAAATGAGTTTTGTCTTGCTTAGGTCAGAGTGGGCCCAAAGTGGTCCTGTGGGGACCAGTTTCCACCAAGATGCTTTTAAATCTGATTATTCACAAGTTGGTTTTATCTTTTAACCCAGGAGTGGAGCCGGTGCTGGGCAGAGGAGCCACCAACCCTCCCCACCAAGGAAGGGGAGAGGAATTGCTTTGGAAATGGTTTTGTAGGTGTAAATGTGCTGGTAATGATTAAGTCAACACATGTCTATGGTTAATGATCCCAGGCCTGGGGTCATTTTGGTGCTGTGTGAGTGGCCTGGGCAGTCACCCCAGCAGAGCCCACTGCAAAGGGACAAATGTGGGGTGCTCCTGGGTACTGCAGCCAGGCCCAGCACATTCTCCTTGCCCTGGTCCCAGGGCTGGTGTGGGTGACCCAACACACTCCTGTAAGCTCAGAGAGGGACCCCGATGCATGCACTGCTTTGCAGAGGGTTGTTATGTATTAGTGCAGCTGCTATAAACTTGCTCCTTGCACCCAAAGGGGTTTTGGGGTTCATCGGCCAGAGATAACGCTGCTTCCCAGGGATGATGATGGTGAATTTAGGGACAAATGCTCAGTGAGTGCCCAGCATCGCTTGATCCTCGCAGCCCCTTTTTGCACAGGCAGTGCCTGGGAGGGCCCTGGCAAAGGTGGGGTTTGGGGTGCAGAAGGGGACGGCATGGCCGTGTGTAAGCCTGTGCCAAGGGGACAGGCACCCTGTGACAGGACCCTGCACCCCGAGCCCTCCTTGCACCCCCAATCCCTTCTGTGCCCCTCCAGCACCCTCCTTCCCCTCCAGCCCTCCACTCCCGCGCAGCCTCCCACTGCCCAAGATCCCTGTGAGCCCCCCCTGCATCCCGGGCCCCCCAACCTGCAGCCCCCGCGCCGCCGCTCTCACCGGTCGGGCCCGGGCTGCCCCCGGCACAGCTCGGTGCTGAAGTAGCCGTGGAGGAGGCAGAGGAGGAGGCAGCTCACGTTGAGCACCAGGCAGAGCGCGGCCAGCACGGCCGATACCGGCAGCAGCACGGCGGCCGCCGGCTCCGGCAGAGCGCCTCGACCGGCACCGAGACCGACCCGCCCCGACGGCAGCTGGAAGATGAGGCTGGAGGCGAGCAGAGCCATGGCAGCGGCCAACGTGCCGAAGAGCAACAGCACCGTCAGGGACCGCTGCGGGTAAGCGGAGGGCATGGCGGGGTCTGTACCGGGAACCGGGACGAGGAGGGCAGCGGGCCCCCAGACTCGCTCCGCGCCCCGAAGTTGCGTGCGCTGTCCTCACCCCCCGTGCTCCAGTTGCAGGATCTCGGACCGGGAACCAGCACCGGGACCGGGAACCGGCACCGGGACCGGGAACCAGCACCGGGACCGGGAACCGGCACCGGGACGGCGGAGCTGCGGCCGTGCCGGGCGTGCGCCTCCCTCCCCGCGCAGGGGCGGGCCGGTCCTCCCTCCCGGGCCGGCCCCTCGCCGCGGGATCCCCCTGGACCTGGATCCCCTCCCCGGGCAGCTCCGCCCAGCGTCCGCCCCACGACGGGGCCGCGAGAGAGCTCGGACCGGTTAAGGCTTTGGGTGGATGCAGGGACCGGAACCGGACCGGGGAGCTCCTCGGAGCGCGTCTGGGCTGGGCTGGATGGACGGAGGGACGGGCGGGGGCAGCAGCAGCAGCTCCGGACGGTGCATCCCGCTGCTCCCGTCATCTCTCCCCGTTCCCAGGGCCTGCTTCCCTGGGAAAATCCTGGGATCAACCCCACCAACCTTAGCCCAGCCTTGGCGTGGAGTGAGCGGGGATGAGGATGGAAAGAAAGGCACACGGTGGTGGCCTAAACCTGCTGCAGAGATGCTTTCAGACTCCACCTCCAGCCGCAGCACCCTCGACGGGTCAGGAGCAAGCACCCAAAGCGTTCTCAGTCCAAGAAGGCTGAGAAAAGACCCACGAGGTGATGCCCTGCCCCTTGTCCTTGGGGCTGGGACAAATTTCCCGTGTCATTTATAAATATCCTGGGAAGCAGAAGCGCCCTTTCCCCTGGGATCTGCCCCGCTTGGGAATCAGGGAGGATTTGAGGAGGATTAATTCGGGAAAATTCACTCTCCACGTCATCTATTACCTTGAGACAGACCCTGTGCCTTGGGAGCAGCGGGGAAACTGAGGCAGGGTTTGGAACCCATGTCCCCAGCACAATGATTCCTCTACCATAGGAGACAAGGGGTAGGGCCTTTCTGTGCTCCTCCCCGGGCACCCCGCCAGTGCCGCTGCCTCCTCCAGCCCGGTGTCATCAGCGCCTGGGCCCATTCCAAGCCTGGCTGTGGGATCCGGACGGGGTGACCTTTCCGTCTGGCACAGGAGCACTCCCGGTTTCCCGTCCCATCCCGCGTGGGTGGCTCCTGCTGGCACCCTTCGCTCCAGCTGGGGCTGGACACGGGCTATTTTGAAGGGCGGTGTGTTGGCCTTGGCAGGCAGCGCTCATTTGGCTCCCAGCTGGTTTCCAGCCCCGCTTGCATTTTTGGCTGAGGGGGGCATTGGTCCCCAGACCCGTTTCGCTGGCACTTGGCCCAAAATCCCCAAACCAGCTCCCGGTGATGGTGTCTCTGTCCCTTCTCCCTTGTCAGGAGAGTGATGGGGCTCAGTGGTGTCCTATGGGCTGTGTCACTTGGGGTGCAGAGCAGCTGGGGCTCCCCCAGACCCCAAGATGTGAGGGCTGGAAGGGCCTCAAAAGGGAGCTCAAAGCAGCTTGGAAGCTGCTGACCTGGAGCTTGCAGGGAGCAGCCAGGCAGACCCGAGGGCTCTGGGCAGCCCTTGGGCCCAAAGAGGGGGGTTCTCTGCCATGGCTGGACACGGCTCTGAGCCAGGCCAAGCCCCTGGGCAGCCCGAGGAGAAGGGGGGGGGACAGGGCAGGGTGGTCCCACACCCAGGCAGGTGAAGGCCACCCTGTGTGTGTCCAGCCCAGGCGCATCTGGATGCGTTGTCCCCCACTGGGCTCTGCCGATGGTCTCGCACTTCTACTCTCTCTCCCTCCCACCTCCTCTTCAGGATGAACTGAGATTACGAGCAGGGCTAATTAACAGGCTGTTAATTGGACTCTGTAAGTCATGAGCTTTAAAAGCAGCTCTGAGAAAGATGCGTCCTTCCCACCAGTGCAGCCGCCACTGAAAGACTCGTCCAGAGAGTTCCCATCTTTCCAAACCCTCTTCCTAAGCCGCCGGGGCTGGGACTGCCCCCCCGGTGTAACTGGGGGTGGAAGGACATCTCCCTGCCATGGCACTGGTGTGGGAGCTGGTTTCCAGTGAGCCCTTGGTAACCCCCTCCCCACCTGCTGCCCCGGCAGCTCCGCACACGTAATTCCCACACCTTGGGAATTGCATCAGTTCCCCCATCGCTGATGTAAACACAGATGCTCCCGGAGGGAACCGAGCACCGAGCACCTCCTGGTCAGCTCTTCACCCCCGACCATGGCCAGAGGGAGCAGGACCCCCGGCACAGCCACCCACCAAGGCACCCACACAAGGACAGGAGATGAGCAGGGGTATGAATTGGGCAGTGCCTTCTCCAGGGTGGATTTTGGGGTCAGGTTTGGATTTGGACACAGAGCTGGGGCACATCAGCATCCCTTGAGTTCAGGTTCTGCTTTCCCCAGGGGAAAACCCCTTCTGTGGGTCTGTCATTGTGTGACAGAGCAGCGTCTGCCTCCCTTCGCTCTGCAAAGTCCACCTCAGGTCATACTCACAGGCTTCAAGCCACAGGATCCACGGCCACCTGCATCCTCTGGTCCCTGCTTGAGATGCTCCAGTGCAGAGCTGCTTCCCGCCGCCTTCCCCCAGGGCTGGGAATGGGGATGGTGCCAGGGAATCCCAGCGCTGGATTGTCCCAGGTGCCATTAGGGCCTGTTCCCCCTCTCTCAGTGCCCGGACTCCGCAGTGTTGGGGTTTGCTGCTGCAGGCGCTGAACTGGGGCCGGTCCCCAGCAGCGTGAGCTCCGTGTCCCGTGGCCGCCTCCCTCGCTGCAGGGTGGCCTCGCTGGTGGCACGGGGACGGGCTGTGGGGGGGAGCACGGGGCAGCCCCCCGAGCAGGTCACTGCTTTCAGAACAGTGAGATATAAAACGGAGAGGGAGGGAGCTGGAGGTTTCCTTTTGGAGCTGGGGGGGTGAGGGGGGTGTCGAGCTGATGGGTTTTTGGCTGTGGTTTTGCTGAGCTCTGGGGGGCGCTGGGGACCAGGACCCCCAACCCTGTGGCCAAAGGGGTGAGGGGGTCACCCGAAACCAAGGGAGGGGGGTCTGGCATGGGACAAAGCCAGAGCCTGGCTCTGAACCTCCGCCCAGGAGCCCCCATCTCAGCCTGAGTCTGAACCCCCCCGCGAGGGCAGAGCACCCCCCAGGACCTCCCAAACTTCACCCTCATCCCAGGCCCCCACATTCCCTCAAATCCATCCAATCCTGCCCCTGCCACATCCCCATCCCAGTACCCGGTTCCCACCACCTCACCCCATTCCAGCCCCCCAAAGACCTACTTAATCTCCCCAACTTTACCCTCCGCCGCGATTCCCGACAGAGGCAGGGCTATGCAAATCACTCCTGCGGCGGCCTCCAATGGGGAGTGAGCCCGGCTGCGGTATGCAAATCTTTCGGCGGGATGGGCGGGGATATGCAAATGTGTCCGGCGCGGCTCGGGCGGGCAGCGCGCGGCTCCGGGGACACGCACAGGCATCGGACCGGGACCGGGACAGGGACCGGGACCGGGACCGGGACCCGACGGCGCTGGGGCCGCACCGGGGCCAGGACGGCTCCGCGGCAGCGCCGGCGGGGAGTTACCGAGGAGGAAGAGCCGGTGTCCAGGTGCGTGTCCCGGGGTGGGGAGCGGGGTCCCGGGCGCACCGGGGCGCTACTGTACGCCGGTGCTGCCGGTACCGGGGAGAGGGGAGGGGGCAGCAGCCACCGATCTTCCCCCAGCCGCGTCCTTGTGCCCTAACCAGACTCCCCTCCGCTGCAGACGGCCGCACGCATCGCGCCGGCAACCCCGTCGGGGCGCAGGGGCTGGGGAAGCAGTGCCGGCCCGGGGAGGTGCCGGTGCGGCCGGACCGGCGCCCCGTGGGCTGGTCTGAGCACGGCGGAGCCCCGTCCCCCGCCCCGCCGTCTAGGGATGGAGGGCTATAAAAAGCCTGTGGTTTGCGCCGCGCTCGGGGTTATTTTTACTCGTGTCTGTGCAGGGAGGAACGCCCGGGTTTAACCCAAAAGTGCAGCTTGGACGGCAGCCGCCAGGCCCCGGCCCGCAGCCGCCTCCCTGCCCACCCCCGGGCCCACCGAGGCTTTGGGGCGCTGGGGCTGAGCCCACTGCGTGAGGGGAAACTGAGGCACGGCACTGCGGGCTGGTGGCTCGACGTGGAGGAAGTTGTAACGCTGCAGGGCCAGGGCCTGGTGCCACCGTGGCTTTGCTGGGGTGTCACACTGGTCTGGCACATGCTGAGCTGCATTCCGGGGCCTTCGTGCTCCCAGTGGGAATGTGACCTGTCCACGGCTCTCGCCAACACGTGGCACATCCATCATGTCCCAGCTCATCCACCTCCATGGGGAGAGCAACGTGGATGCTCTGCCAGATCCTCCTGCCTGCTGCAGCCGAGTCCCCGTCCCTAGGGATTTACTCTTCTAATGAGAGAAAGTTTCCAAGAGCTGCTGGCTCTTGAGATGCGTTCACAGGTAATGAATTACCTGGTGGATGAGTGGGAAGGCAGGGACCTATTCCAGGGGCTTGCTCCCTCTGTCCACGCACATCCCTTTGGACAAGGGGTACCAGTTGGGAAGGGAATGTCAGTGACTCAGCCAGGGAGTTGGATCCTGGCCCTTTTCCATGCCTGGCTGCCAGCTGAACACATCACACATAGGTGATGTGTTGGGGAGCTCCATGGCAGCTTGGGGATCAGGATTTGGGATGTAGATGCAGGTCTCGGGTTTGGCTTAGGATGTCAAACACCTGAGCACGGGTCACTGATGATATCTGGGTTCCAACACCAGGGAGGAGCATCCTAGCAGTGAGGAGGCCAGAGAGTCTGGTGTGCCATGCTGCCATGGGGATGCCCAGAAGGATAGAGGGGGGAATTAGTATATTTAAGGTCCTTGGATTTCCCTTCTCTTCACAAGAATTACAGCAGGATTGTCAGGAGCAAACCAGGTTTGTAAGCCATGCAGCCCTAATACCAGCCATCAGCAACCTCTGGCTGCCCCCATCAAACCCTCCATCACCAAACAGGCATCATTTCCCTTATCACTGCCCAGCTGCAGCATGGGGCAGCCTAGCCCTGTGGGAACAGTGTGTTCCTTCCCTTGGCTGCTGCGAGCAGCATTCCCAGCACCGGGCACAAAGGTGGTCTGAGCCTTGGATGGGGACTGTGTGTCCATCCCTCTTCCCAAGGGCAAGAGCTGCCTCGGGTTTCAGGGTCATTTCTCTCCTTCCTCCTTCCACACAGTCATTTTGGAACCGAAAAGCCTCCTCCCATCACCGCGCTTTGCCCAAGGGCAGCTGCCTATGGCTGCGCCGGGCGCTGGGGGCACTTTCGGTCTGTGTCATACCGAGCGGGATGGATCCAGGGCTGGAGGGGGCCAGGTCTCTTCAAACCCAACCAAAGCCTGCATTTGGCTCTGGAAGAGCTCAGGGCACTTCCGTGGCCAGGCCATGTGCTGCGATGGGGGAGATAAGTGAGTTATAGCAGGGGGTGATGCTTGTGAGATGGGGGAAGGTGGTTACCCTTGTCCTCAGCACCCTGAGGTGCCCTTGTCCCCACCCTTGCAGCACCCCGTCCCCACGGAGCTCTCCTTTCCCCTGCTTCCCAGCAGGCTCCTCCTGCCTTGCCCGCTCCCCAGCTCTGGTTTGTACTGGTTTGCTGTTTAAACAACCTATAAAAAGCAGAAGGGCCTGTCTGCCCCGGCAGAAACCCTGCTCAACTTTGACTTTTCCCTGCGCCGGGCTCGGGATGCTGCTTTCACCACGAGGCCCCAGCTCTGCCGTTCCCTGGGGACCGCTGAGAGCCGGAGCCATGTCGGCAGTTTGGAGCAGGACAGCACCAGGCAGGATGGATGCGGCTCACGATAGAGCCAGCGCCATGTGTCCATCCACAACGGATGGTCCTTAAAGCCCTGTTTCAAGCCTGTTGCCCTCCTTGTCCCAGCGATGCAGCATCTGGGCTGTTCTCCCCTGGGATTTCACTGCTCCTGGCTCAGATTTTCCCTTCCCAGCCAAGCTCACTTCTTCTCCCTGTAAAAGATGGGATGGAAACTCTTTCTCCCACTTTAATCATTGTTTTTCTCAAAAAAAACTTTCTGGAAGCTGCCAAATGCCAACAGCAAGTACTTGCTGGCCGCTCTTTCCCATTCCCATTCCTACCCAGCCACCTCCAGCTTTCAGATTTGCAACAAAAATCCCCCAAATTTGGTGAAAAAGGACTTTTTTCCCCAGTATGGGCACTTTGTCCCATGGAGATGGGAAAGATGGGACTATGAAACTCTGGGAAGCCCAGAGGCCCTGGCCTGGTGGTTACTGGGGAAGCACTCAGACCCTGGAGCAACAGAAACACTCCCCTAATAACCTCACCCACTTTGACTTCAGGATAGACCTGGTGACATTAACATTCCTGGGATCATGCAGGGGATGGAAAGGGATGGAAAGGTGTTACAGGCAGCACCAGGACCCCCCAGTACCACTGTGAGCATCCCACATCGTGCTGGAGCTGCAGCATACGGAAAAACACATCGCTCTCAAGGGGTTCGCTTCGTCTCAGCTCATTAATGAGGAGCTGGGATTGGGAGTTCCCCCACTCCAGTGGGATGCAAATGACCCCTAAAGATGTGCAGCATCCGGGGGGTTCATTATAGACCCTGCAGCCGGGGGACACCGCGCTGGGGGTGCTGGCAAAGGCACGGTGGGGACGAGGGGCTGTGCTGGCTGTGGAAGCGAGCCCAGTGCGTGCAAGCAAGCAGAGCCCAGGCTAAAGATAAGCACATGTGGGAGGAAGAGGAGGCCGGCGGGAAGCCAGGCAGCACCGGAGCCTCTGCCCAGGCAAGGGAACGCGTCTCCTCTCTGAAAGGCTTTGAGGGCTCGAGAGCTTTGCTGGTGCTGGGGTTTGTTTGCATCGCTTGGAATGGTGATGCTGAAGAGTCCCTTCATCCCTGCAGCCGGGCCACGTTGTGGGTCCCCATCACTGCACGGAGCTCTTTGTGTGAGGTGGGACTCGCTGGAGGTGAACGCAATGAGAGGCTGGGGGGTTCCTCCAGTGCGAGCACCCCAACCCTGCTCCCTCCCACTCAGGGGGACAGCAATGAGCCCGCCCTGGATGCCAGCTCCTTATGGGAGCCAGGCTGCTCCATGAGGACGGGGCTGGAGGATGCCACTGTGCTGGACCACAGGATAGAGGTGGCATCGCTGTGCCCGTCCCCACCGGCGGTGATAATCGCCTGCAGCCATAGCACTGCTGATCACCTTATCGCCTGGCACAGCAATTAAAATCCACAGTGAAATTTCCCCCTCCCCTCCCAGCCCTTGATACTCATCCATGGGAAGCTGAGCGCTGGGGCCCTGCCGCACTGCGGGGGCCAAAGCACCACAACCGACAAGGCCATAACCCTTAGAGCATCCCAACCCTGCCTGCATCCACTCCCAGCCCTGCGCCTGCCTGGCAGGACCCCGGCTCATGGCACGGTGCCGGTGGCAGCAGTGGCCTGGCCACGCGAGTCCCCGCGGGTCCCAGGAGCAGCGGTGCTGGAAGGAGCAGTGCGGGGAGCGGCTGATGAAACCACCCCACGTGTTGCACGGGCCTCAGATGGTTTCCCTGCTGTGAACGTGCTGCTGCTTCCTCCTGCCTCGCACCCCTGCTGGCTGTTCTGGGCTGGGGCGCCTGCAGCATTGCCCCGTGGGTGCTGGTACCCACCCAGAACCCTCACAGTGTCACCCCAAGGGTCCTGGATTCCCCCCCCGCCCCAAACACCCTGCCTGGGCAGATGTGGCATCTCCAGGGCTCCGAGCCATGCTGGTACCTGAGGTGGCTGCTGTCCACTGTCCCCTGCTCTGAAGCAGCTCAGATGCGTGGACATGGCCAGGCTGGGGCCATGGAGGGACTTGCAAGATCTGCGCCACTGCAGGGACCATCTACCTCTGCACTCCACATACAGCTAGAAACCAGGATTCTGGAGCAAGGCATCGGGGTGCTACAGCATCCAAGGAGCTGGGGGTGCTGGGTCCGTCCAAAGAGGGGGTGTTTCTTGGCTCCATTGTAGCTGGGGGGACTCATCCTTCTCTCTAATGGAGCCTTTAAAGATGCCCCCTGCGTGAGGCTGTGCAAGGATGCAGGCGAGCATCCCCTGACCTGTCAGAGGCCAAACTCAGCTGCAAGCTGGAGCCCCCCGGGGAACAGCTCCTCTCTCTGCACCCCAAATTCCAGATCATGGCATAGGGCTCAGTAGACCAAAGCTGACCCCTCAGGGCATCCCCAGCCATATACCTGCTGCAGGTGCCAGTTCTGGGATGTTCGAAGCAGCTTTGGCCCTGCCCCAGCAGCAATCGTTGGGAAAACCTCTGCCTTTCCACTAGGGAATCTTTGGCTCTTTCCGGCTGGAGCGGGGTGGTCCCGGCACCCCCTGTACCTTGGTGCCGTGCGTGGGCCCCGGGACACAGGGTGGCAGCAGGGCCGTGGGAACGGCAGCACAATTTCCTTCCATAAATTAAAATTAGTTGTGATCAGCTAAATATAGAGGCTGAGCGAGATGGTAAATGGCAGCAGGGGAAGCGGGACAAGCTGGGGCATGGCGGGAGCAAAGGGCTGGCTGGTCCCCAACCTGCATCCTCCGGGTGCATCCCTCTGATGGGGGAGCTGCTGGACAAGCTTGGGGGGCTCTAGAGGTGCCTGAGGTCCCTAGGGAGCCACAGCACAGAGCTCCCAGCTCCACTGGCTTCCAGCTTGACTCTTGCTCCATGGACATGGCTTGGGCATAGTGGGGACCAAGCTGGGCCAGGTCTGCACCCTAATTTGGTGGGTCCCATTGGGAGCATCTTGGTACCACCCGTAGCTCTGTACTGTGGTGGCACCGGGGCATCCCTGATGGGTTTTGGGGGACAACAAAAGGAGCAAGAATTGGGGTGCTGCAGCAGCAAGGGAGATGTCGGGGGTGTGTGTGTGTGTGTGTCACAGCACAGTGCTGGGCTGCAATGGGTGCTGGCACCCTGCAGCCAGGGAAGGATGCAGGGTCCCCCAACCCCTCATCCTTCCCACTGCTGGCTCACGTGGCCTGAAGAGGTGGGTGGTTTCGCTTTGCTGTCTCTTCGTGCAGCCACTTCCTGACCTGCGAATGGCGGAGGTCAAATTTAGTCTGAAAACCCCAAATTTGAGCCTAAAAACAGCCCTTTTGTGTTATAGACCCTCCTCACAGCCAGCCCGGCCTCCCTTATAACCGCCCTTCCCATCCCTCGGCCCCGCCGTGAGCAGCATCAGTGCATGGGGTGAGCGCGGAGCAGCCCCCACGGCTTTGGATGGGGGACTGGGGATGCAAAGGCTGATCCCATGCTCCCAGCAAGGGACTTGGCATCGCAGCACCACAGCATTCCAGCCGGCCCGGGCAGGTCCCTGGGGCTGGTGTGTGGGGAGATGGAGCAGGGGCAGTGGAACCGGCTGGGCAGAGCTATGGGGCTTTTCTTCCTTTTTCCTCACAGAATTTCCCACTTTTTTTCTTAACATTTGCAGTTGTTGCTGGACAAAAAAGCCAAAATTTCCTCTGAAAACGCCTCTTTTTTTCCAGCCAAACCCATTTTGGTGGCTGGAGGGGTGAGGGCACACGAGCGGCTGCCCCTGGCTGTTCAGGCTCAAGGGGCTTCTTGCTCTTTTCCAGCCCTCCCTGGCGTGTAGGAGGTGAAAATGGGCCGGAAAAAGATCCAGATCAGTCGGATATTGGATCAACGGAACCGGCAGGTAGGAGCTGCATGGGGACGAGTGGGGACCAGGGGGATAGGGAGCCACGAGGCCATGGAAAGGGGCAACGCCGCTCTGCTCCCATCACTGACGGGTCCTCCAGAGGTGGATCTGGGGAGGCAAGGGGAGGGTTTGGGGCTGCATCCAGCGGTGCTGAGGGCAGCATCCCGTCCCCTTCCCTGCTCCACAGGTGACCTTCACCAAGCGGAAGTTTGGGCTGATGAAGAAGGCGTACGAGCTGAGCGTCCTGTGCGACTGCGAGATCGCCCTCATCATCTTCAACAGCACCAACCGCCTCTTCCAGTACGCCAGCACCGACATGGACAAGGTGCTGCTCAAGTACACGGAGTACAGCGAGCCCCACGAGAGCCGCACCAACAGCGACATCCTCGAGGTAGCAGCAGGGGGCAGCCGGGAGGGCCGGGTTGGGGGGGGCCACAGGGCCCTGCTCACAGCCCCGCTCCCCGCAGACACTGAAGCGCAAAGGGCTGGGGCTGGAGAGCCACGAGCTGGAGGTGGACGAGGGGCCGGATCCCGAGGAGAAGGCGCGAAGGCTGAGCGAAGGCATGGACCTGTCGGTGCCACGACCCAGGTTTTATGTGAGTCGCTGCTGTCCCCAGGGTGCCCGAGGTCCCCGTCCCCTCCCTGCCCCTGAGCTCTGCTTCGCCCTGCAGAGCCCAGCACCGCTGCCCGATGCAGCCTATGGCAGCTCCCCACCGGCCACCACCGCGGCCCTGAGCAGCACCAGCGCATCCCCGCAGGGCCAGGGCCGCCCGCCCGCCTTCAAACCAGCACCGCCGAAGCCACCAGGACGCTCCCCAGGGCCATTGCCCCCAGGTAGGCTCGGATCCATCACCAGGGGTGCTGCAAGGAGAAAGACGTTAACATGGGCACCGTCCCCACCATGGGCACCCTGTCCCCACCATGGGCACCCTGTCCCCACCATGGCACCACATCCTCACCATGGGCACCCTGTCCCCACCATGGCACCACATCCTCACCATGGGCACCCTGTCCCCACCAGGGGCACCCTGTCCCCACCATGGCACCACATCCTCACCATGGGCACCCTGTCGTTGCCGGCCCCACAGGGATTTTCCCGTCTAGGCACCGCATGCAAAGCTCCTCTTACAGCATCTCCCGGGGACTTACCAGGAGCGGGGCTGCGGTGGGTGTGTGGGCAGGGAGCTGTGGAAACACCAGCCCCTGCCTCCCTCCAGATGCTTCCTGTGCCCTGCTGGCACCCAGCACCCTGCAGCCTCCCGTGTGGTAGAGCTCACACTCAGCATGAGGGGCTCATCCAGCCCAGGGTATAGCACTGGACCAGGTGGTGACAGGGACATGGGTGTCCCCAGGGCCATGCAGCAGAAAAAGATGCTGGAGCTTGACCAGCAGAATCCCCGGGGGGGGGGTGGAGGTGCTGTGAGGGCATCTGGGTGATATTCTCATCATGAAGCACCCCCATCTCCGTGGGGGCAGCGTGGTGGCCCTAGGCTGACATCCGCATGCTGGAGGTACCTATTGTGGAGGCTGCTCCGTGGGGAGCTGGGTGCTCCCTGCAGCAGGGTCCAGTGGGGGATGTCTGCAGGCTGCTGTAGCCCCAGGGCTGGACCCAGCCACCGTTTCCACTCGCAGCATGTGGCCACTGTGGTGCCGCTGCTCAGGAAGTGGGTTTACTGGAGCATGGCACCGTGCAGGCACCCAAGGCACTGAGGGCACCAGGGCCACTGGCATGGGGATCCCCCCTGGTGCCCCTCATCCTTCAGGGTCACCCCCTGCATCCTCCTGCCCCTCTGTCCACCCAGGTATCGGCTACCCCCTCTTCCCTGCTGGCAGCCTGAACCGGGCCCTGGCCACCAAGACGCCCCCCCCGCTGTACCTGGGGGCCGAGGGCCGGTGTGGGGAAGCCCACAGCAGCTTGGTGAGCGGCCGCAGCGGTGGCACTGCCACGGTGAGTGCCATGGGGGGGACACCAGCACTGTGGTACCTGCTGCTGCGTGGGCACAGCGTGGCCCTGTCACTAGGAAGGAGGTTGGGGGGGAGGATGGGGGATGCTGCATTATAGATTCCCCAAGGGGCTGGCAGCACGAAGCCTGATGCAGGCACCCGCTTTCCCACAGCGACCACTGTACCCTGCTCTGCAGACCCTGAGCCCTGTGCTCACCCCAAGCAGCTCCAGCATCCCAAGCCACAGCCTCACCAATTTCCCCTTCCTCACCCCAGCCCAAGCTGGTAAGTCCTGCCCCCTCAGCCCCAGGACACTGTGCCCCCCCCCCAGTAAAACCTCCCCTGCTCACTCTTGGCCTTCTGCTCAGCAGAGTTTGGTGCTGGTGAGGCCCCACCACCCCCCGGCTTCCTGCAGCCTGGCCCCACAGCATGGCAGCAGCCACGGGACATGGCAGCACTGGGGTAAGGATGGGGACAGCCACAGGGTGGGAGACAGGGGCTGGGGATGAATCCGTTAATGGGGAGCTGCTGCACCCATGGGTACTACCTCCCAGCCATGGGTGACGCCAGCACCCAAGGCACAGCCCCTTCTCCCACCATGCTGGGGTCTGTTCTGCTTCTCCTCTAAACTGGGGCAGACGGGGTCACCCCAGGACCCCCCGCTCCTGCCGCTGCTCGCAGAGCCTATTTCCAAGTGGATTTTCCCAGGGGGTGGGGCCCCCATGTCCCTCCCAGTCACACACTGGGCTCCCAGCAGCGCCTGACTGGGCAGAGCCAGGTGAGGTGGGTTTAGGGGTGCTCAGCCCCTCGAGGGAGAAGAGGGGGCTGAGCTCGGCCTCTCCCCACCCCGCACACCCCGGCAGGGGCTGCAGGGGGACCCGGCCTCACTCCTGCTCCCCTTCCCCAGGGTCAGCAGCCGGATTGCCCCTGCTGAAGAGCCGGCCCCCGGCGCCTCCCCGCAGCACCAAGCCATCAGCATCAAGTCGGAGCGGGTCTCCCCGGGGCTGGGCTGCCCCTCGGGCACCCCGCAGCCGCCCGCTGCCAGCCTGGCCTCCCTGAGCGAAGCCTCCCGAGGCCCCGGAGACCATCAGCCACGGGACGACTACGCCAAGGGGTACCCGTACCCCCTGGCCCCCCCGCGGCCGCTGCCCGAGGAGCAGCGGGTCCCCGTCCCCATGCGACGAGCGCAGGCCATGGACACTTGGCAGAGATAGCGAGGCCGACGGGGTGCAGGGGGGTGGGCTGAGCCTGGAGGGGAGCCCCGCACTTCATCCGCATCCTCAGACCCCCAAGAAGCCCTTTGCAGTGCTCCCTGGGGGGTCAGCGATGCCCCAGGGCTTCCCCTGGGGTTTCATCCATCACCTCGGGGCTGCAGCTCCCAGCAAATCCCTTCCCCACCCCGGTGCCCCCCACAGGCTGCTGAGCCCCCCCTTCCTGCAGCTCTGACCCCCCCCGCAGCCCCGGCCGGGACCCCAGGGATGAGGAGCGCTGCCCCCATGCCCTGTCCGGTGCATCCCCGTCTGTCCGCCTGTGCCTGCGCCAGCGAGTGGGAATGCCGGAGAAATGCCACGGGGTGGCAGCAGGACTGAGAGCACCGGCAGCGGGTCCAGCCCTGCACCCGCCAGGCCCAATCCTGCACCGGCTGATGGGGGCTGCCGGGGACCCGCAGGGGGGCGGGATGGAGGCATGGAGGCAGCCAGGGTGGTGGGTGCCGAACCCAGCCCAGGGGCTCTTTTCTATTTATTATCTTCTCACCAATAAAGAACTGGGGGTGTCGGGGTGTCTGGTGTGAGCTTCTTGGGGCCAGGCAGCAGGCTAATGAGGTGACAGTTCATTAACGTCCCCAAGGCAAGAAGTGCCCCATGCTCTGACCCACTTCAGATAAGCGGTGCTGTCTCCTGTGTCCCACCACCACCTCTCCAGGGTCACCAGCTAACAAGGCAGGTGACAGCCGGGTCACCCTCAGCTCTGGCCAGGTCCCTGGGGCCCAGCCATGCTGCTCCCATCCCTCAGCAACCTGGGACACCCCAAAAAGCTGCTCTGAGGGTCTCAGTGCTGGGAGCAGGTGCGAGGAGGAGGAAAACCCCTTATGTGCCCTTAAGGTGGTCGTCAGTGAGGGGTTATGTGGGGAGGCGGGACCTGCCCCCCCTGAGCTGTGTCTCCTACAGCCCACTGGGCTGGGGCCGGGGTTTTGGGGCTTGCTGTGTGTGGGGAGGACCCCGTTGGGCCTGAGGTGCCCTGGCCATGGTCATGGCCATGGCCACACTGCTGAGAGGATGAGGAGGAAGGGGGCAGGGTTTGGCAGTGCCCATCGTCCCCTGGTTTTGGGGGGATGTGGGTGCACACTAGCGCTGTGTGGGCACCCACAGGCTGGGATTGAGTGGGGATAGGGTGGTCCCTCTGCACCGGCCACTCGCCAGCGCTGAACTGGGCCCCTTCCTGGGGGGGATTACTGGTGGCCAAGCCCTGAGATTAAAACACGGGAGGGGGATTAATCCTGGGAAGAGTTTGCCCCGTTTAATAGAGCGACATAAATACCAGCCAGGATTAGGGGCTGTGCGGAGCCCCGGCAGCCCAGGGCTGGATCCAGCCTCAGCTCAGATCCCCCCCCCCAGCTGGCGGGTCCCCTCCTGGGCCACCCTTGGGGCTGGGAAGTGGCTTCTGCATGGAAAGAGGAGGTGAGACACCCGGTGAAAGTGTGGGGGCTGGGGTAAGAGACACTGATTGAATAGCAATGACTGCATGATTTATGGTTTGCATTATTGCATGGCTCATTTGAATATATGCTAATAAGGCTTTTCTCCTCGTTTTGTTTGTAAGATTTAGATTTGCTATGGCAACCCGCTGGCATGGAAGGAGCGCCAGGAAATGTCAGGGCGAGGTGAGCCCCGGACAGGGGTTGGGGCTGCCTGGGACATTCACCGCATCCCACCGCAGGGACAAGGGGACGGCTGGAGGGACCCGGAGGGCACCGGCGGGAGACGCGGGAGCCGACAGGAGACATTGACCCCCCCCAACTGCCTGCAGGTCCGGTAGCACCCCATTGCGACAGGTCCTCAACCGGGGTGGGGGGTGCCCTGCAGTGCCCCCCTCTCTCCTTTGCTCTCGCAGGGAGGTCCCTTTGCCCCCTGCCTCATCCCCTGTCTACCTGCGGAGCATCCCCCCCAGCGCAGCAGAGGTGGGGTGCCCCATTGCACTGCACCCAAAGCTGGCACCCGGCTTTGTTGTGGGGTGGGGACAGTGCTCAGGGTGACACTGGGAAGAAAGAGTGTCCGCTCTGTGTTGCCCACCCGTGCATCTACGGGGCCCTGATCCAAGGTGGAGGGGTCCAGGCCATCTCCCCACCTCTGTGTCACTGTGCCCCCTTCCCAGCTGCCCGGGACTGCCCAGTAAAGCCCAGTTACCTGCAGGCCTAGCATGGCGGGGAACTGTGCTGCTCCGGGAGGGTGCTGGGCTCCAGCTCTCGGGGCTGCAGAGCCGGTGGGGCTTTGTCTCCTGGTAGGTGCTGGTACCTCTCCCGGTGTCTGTGCTGTCGGGGGCTCTGCACCGCGATCTGGGGGCTGTGAACCTTGCAGTCAGGGTGCTCCCTTGCTGGGCAGCAGTCGGATGGGTTGGTCTGGGGGGCACCGTCCCCTCCTCAGAGCCGTGGGGGAGCAGCGCCCTGTCATCAGCAGCCCGGGGAGGGTGGGAGCCGATGGTCCGTGGTGTTACAGAGAGGACATCTCGGGTGGTGATGGGGTCCCCCTGCTGTCCCCCTCCAGGCGGCCCCGGGCCTATCTCGGGCTGCGGGAGCTGGGGTGGGTTCGTCCCCTCGGAGCCCTACGAAGCAGCCCCCGGAGTGTGGCCAGGGCCGAGGCGGCTTCGGGCTGTGGCGGTGGCCCCGGGGCTGGGAGCTCCCGCCGGGGGTCGGTTTCCGCTCCCGGGATACCCGGAGCCGTTTCACACCTTGTAATGGGGCGGGAACGAGCCCCGGGCTGGGGGCGAGCTAGCACAGCTCCGGCCCCGAGGGGACGGGGATGCCCGACTCCTCCTCGCCTCCCAGCCGCAGCAAAGCGGGGCCGAGCCGGGCACCGGGGTCTGCCCCTCCCGGTGCATCCTCCCCCAGACACCCACTTTGTTGTTTTGCAAAAGCCCTGAAATATTCATAGCGCTGCGCCGATCGCCTCTTAATGAATTTTTGATCAAAACTGCATCAGGGAAACAAAATACCTCCCCCCACCCCCAAACCCCCGCCGTCGAGGAAGGGGGACCGACCTTGCCGATACCGGGGGTCTGAAGGAGCCGACTCCCACCCCAGGGCCTTTTACCGGGAGAGGCCCCGGCCGCGGGCTCGGCAGCAGGATTTGGGGTGTCCAAAGTGCAGGCCTGGCCTCCTGCTGCACCCGGGCTCGGCAGGGACTGCCCGGGCCACCGTGAAGCCCCGGTTGGACGGGACGGGAGATGGGCGGCCGAGACAGAGCGTCCCGGCTCCCCCCGGCCCCGGCGGGAGGAATATTCGTTGAGGGGAAAATGCATAAGCGGAGCTGGTTACGGTAGAGCATGGAGCCGACGGCCTCCCCGGCAGCGCTGGGCCGGGGGTGGCCCATACCGGGGCAGTCAGGGCGTGGAGGTGGTGGGGGGCACCGGGGTGGTAGCGGGCACAAGCCCCTTCCGCGGATCGGTTTCTGCGAGGGTCCCCGTCCCCCCCCCGGCCGGATTTGGGGCGCAAACCCCTCTCGAAGCCGCTTTTGCAGCCAGCGATTTTTAACGCGCTCCGAAAATCTCGTTATAGAGGAGGAGGGAGGGTGAGGGGGGCCCCGTTCCCGGTCACTTCGGACCTTGGCGGTGTAAACGTCCGAGGGGGGGTGGGGGGTGGGATTTTGTTTTGCATTTAAAAATTAACCGATTTGTGCTTAATTTCCACGGACTGATCCAGCACCGGCTGCGGAGCGGGTGGCCGCCGGCAGCCGCCTCTGCCCCAGATCCGGCGGGTGGGAAAGGCAAAAGGACCCCCTCAACCCCTTCCCCTCGGCTCCGGGTCTAGCCCCGCTCCCCCCTCAAACCCTGTGGGGTACCCCGAGCCCTGACGGCCCCCGGGTGGGGTCCGGATCCGGCCCTGCCTCCCGCTGTCCGTGCAAGGCCGCATCCGCCGGGTCACCGGGATTATTATTATTATAATATATATTATATTCCTTTTTATATAATAAAATCCCCGTTATTTTTAGGTTCTGCTGCCAGATCCGCCCCCGCCCCGCGCCCTCCCCCCCAGCCCGGTGCATTCCCCACAGCGCAGGGCTAACCTATCCTGCTCCCGACGCGAGGACGTCATTCCTTACGTAGGAAAATATGGAGAAAGCAAAGGGAAAAAAAAAAAAAAAAGGAAAAAAAACCCACATCGCATTTTCCCTCCTCTCTCCCATCTCCATTGCCAAAAGGGACAAAATGGATGTTTGGGCGGAATCTGCCTTTCCTCCTCCCCACCATGCCCGGCGGCCTCGGGTCGAGGCTGCCCGGGCCCGGTCGGGGGGCTCCCGGCGTTCAAGCCCCGTGCAGACGTTATCTGTTTAACCCCACGTAAAGGCAACGTGATCGCGGGGGGCTCCGCTTCCCCCAGCCCTGGCAGTCCTCTCCGGGAGCCGCAGCTCGGCTCCGCCGCGCTCCGCATCGCCTGGATGTCCCCGGGCTCCGCGTCCTGCCCGCTGCCGGTGCCGCGTTCTCCCCCAGCCCCCGCCCCGGAGGCTGCCGGTGTCCCGGTGGCTCCCGTCTCCCGCTGTCGCTAAGTCATTAATGGATGCAGATGTGCGGAGGGAGGTAAATAATCCCCCCCACTCCCCTCTTTTTGTCGCTGGTTTTCCCTTCCCCTGCCCCGCATTGAACTCCCCGGGCCGGGGCAGCGGGGACGAGCGGGCAGGAGCGAGCAGCAGCAGGCGGCTGCCGGTGATGCCCGCAGGAGGGGCAGGGCTATGCGGGCACCGGCACCAGCCCCGCTTCCCCTCCTGCTTCTCCCAACTTGGAAGAAGTCTGCGAGGGGGGACCCCGCGCCTCCCCCCGGTATGTTATTTTGGGGAGGTGTGTGCGCTTTTTACACACACACACACACACACACACACACACCCCGCCTCCATCCTTCCCGGATTAGGGGCTGCGGGTCCCGGCAGCCCGGTGCGAATGTGGGATGGGGGGCGAGATGGGGGGGGGGGGGGACGAGGCGTGGAAAGCTGCCCTCCCTCCGGCTCCCGCAGCGCAGGGAACAATGGCCACGGGCTCCGTGGGGACAATGCCCGGCGGAGCCGAGCTGCTTGGGTTGCAGGACACGTCCACCACCGCCTCGGCCACCCCGGGCCCCGGCCCCCCGCTCCCCCGGGGCAGGCACCCCCCGCTTCCCCGAGGCTGTGGGAAAACGCGTGGCTAGGGATGGGTTCGGGAACGGGGATGAGAGGGTTGGGGGGGGCACCAAACTTAGCGAAAGGTGTCCCCCACGCACCCTGGCGTCAGTCTCTGCCTCCTCCCGGCTTTGGGCCCCCCCCACCCCGTTGAGCCCGTCGGTTCCCTCTTGCCCGTCCCGTCTCTTGCCGCAAACTCCAATGGGGTACTCCCGACCGGGGATCAACAGGTCGGTACCGCCCGGTCCCCAGGTGCGCGTTTCTCCTTCCCCCCCACCCCCGGCCCCTCTTTTCCCAACCCTCCATCACCCTCTCCCCCCTTGCCCCCCCTCCACCCCCTCATTATTCCCGTTATCCCGGGGCAGCCTCCGTGCCCAAACGCCGGCATGTGCGAGGCAAACAGAGCGCGATTGTTCCGAGCCTGGGAACGCGCGGAGGGGGCGCGGGGGCCGCCGCCCGCCGCCCCCCGCCCGGCCCCCGCTCAGCCGCGATTGTGATGGAAATAGGCCTTTCCCCGCATGCTGTTGAACTTGATGTTGACTCCTTTTCTTTGGGGTTTCACATCTCCTCGGCCACTTGTTTTGTGGGAAAATTTTCTCCCGAGCTCCGGTGTGAAATTAATTAATCGGGGCCTCTAGATGGCAATGGGACACAAAAGGGGACAGCCCGGGGAAACTCCGGCAAACTCACAAAAGACACCCCCGGGGTTTAGAGCCCTGGGCCGGTGGGACCGACTGCCCTGCCCTGCCCGGTGCCCGAGGTAAGGGGCTGCCGGAGCCAAGTTTCGGGGTGTGCATCTATTAGTGTTATTATTAGTATTATTAATGTTTTTAGGGGAGGGTTGGGGGGGGGGAATCCGGGGGTCTGAGGGTGCTGTTTCGGGCGGTGTGTTGTGTGGGCACCCCGTCCCATGCCCTCCCAGCCCTGCTCTGGTGCCCAGGCGCCAAGAAATAAAAAAAAAGTAACATTAAAATTGAAATTCCCCACCAAAGGGACGGGGCCGGACTCGGCATCTCGGGATAATCTGAGGGGTTTAAATATATTTATTCTCTTGGTTATTATTTATTATTGAAAAGTAACGGGGGTTGCTGCTGCGCTGAAGCGCCTGGTTCTGCCCGGGCGGGCACGGCGGGATTTCACGCCACGTCCTTTCCCGAGCAGGGCAATCTCTGCCGTGCGCGGGGGGAAACCGTTTCCCCCCGGTTTGAACCGGGAAAGCAGCGGTTTGATTCCCAGTCACCCTCCTCGCCCTTCGTTTCGGCGGGTGCCTCGTCTGTCCGTCTCCTCCGACGGGTTTAACAGCCACCGAGGGGTGTGTATGTAAATTTAAACCCAGTTTTTCTTTGGAGGCACTTTGCAGGGCAGAATTTTTAGATCAATATTTGCAAGATTCCCCTTTGCAAAGATTCCTCTTTGGAGGGATATTTCTGCACGGGAACAGGCCAAAAATAAGGGCGTCAAATCCCCTCCCGCTCTTTGTTGCCACAACACCTTTGGGTGACAGCGGCTGCAGAGGGGAAATCGTTTAGATCTGTTATCTGTTAAATCTCTGTTTTTTGCCTACATCGATATTTCCAGCAGGGCAGGAATTCGGATGGATTTAGGCGGGGGTTTGGGGACTCCTTTTCCTCGGGGTAGCCCCCGTCCTCTCCAGTGTTGGTTGAATTGAGCTGTAAAGAGATGTGCAGGGTAACGAGTTGTTGTATTTTGAATGCAAATAATTCCCAGTGACAACGTTGGATCAAACGGGAGGGGGGGGAGGAAGGAGAAAAAAAAAAAAAGGAGGAAAAAAATGGGGCGGGAAAATGAAAAGGAAAAAAAGGGAAAAAATCTCTGAGGAAAAAAAAAAAGATAAAAAATCTGCTTTCGAAGGGCTCCGGAGCGGGCGAGCGGCTCCTCTGCCCCGGAGCAGTGACGGGTGCCCTGTGCGAGGCTCCAGTGCCCACGGTGAGGGGGAGCTGGGCCGTCTCCCACTCGGTAAAGCCAGACAGACCGAGACAGACCGAGACAGGCAGACAGACACCGCGTGTGGGACTGCCCCTCCTCGGGGGTCTCCTCTATTTCCTCAGCAGCAGAGGCCGCGTCCCGGCTCGGGCCCGGCCGGGGCTTCGGGTGGGTGCTGACCCTCCATAGTGCGTGAAAGGGACCGGCTTTGGGTCTCTCTGTGCCCTGCCCGTCGGCGGGACCGGCCCAGGTTGTCCGGTGAAGAGATCCACCCCCCTGCGGCCACCTGGACTTGAAAGTTGCTCCAAGTTGGATCGATGGCGGCGGCGGCTCCTCCTTGACGAATCTTGTCTCTCTTCCCTCCCCAGGTGGGCTCGGCCGAGCGGCTCCGCGGGGACCGGCACACCGGGCGAGGCGGACGTAACGGCGGCTCCCCCCATCTTCTATTTCAAAGGCAGCCCCGGGATGCGGCCGGTTCTACCGGAGAGATGCGGAGCAGGTGCGCGACGTGCAGTTAGTGGCGTTACCGGTAACGGTGGGAAGTTACCGGGCTGGCGGGGAGCGGCACACCGCGGCATCCCTCGGGGCGATGGGAGAGAGGGGCCGGCATCGGCCGGGATACCCAGGCTGCGGTTCTCCGGTGGGAACCGGGGCTCCTGAGCCGAGCCCATCTGTGCTGCCTCCCGCCGAGGAGACCGGCGGTTCCTACGGCGAGCGCCGTGCTAGCACCGGAGCCCAACATGGCTGCTGTAGTGAAGGTATTTGATTCACACGAGGGGGTAGGCGAAGGGGAGAAGGGGGGACGAGAGGCACCGGGGCCGGAGGCAGCGCCCGCGGCCGCTGGGGCGAGAGCTACCGGTGGGCGACGACCCGGTAAGTGCCAGGGAGAAACGAGGCCGGGTGGGCCCCGTGGATCCCCCGCAGCGGGCACGCGTGGGGCGGCCGCCTTTCCCGCGCCGGTGCTGCCAGGCCTCTGCCGCGGCCCCTCTGGGGCAGCGAGCAGTGGGAAGCGGGCACCGGCAACCAGCGGGGGTGAACCGGGCCGCTGCAGCCCGCCCGGGCCCTGTGCGGCTCTCACCGGTGCCCGGGAGCGGCGGAGAGTGGGGCTGGAGCGGATGCTGCGCCTCGGCCCCGCCGGTGCCCGAAGCAGCCCTTCCCCGAGCCGTGCCCTGGCCGCAGGGCGCTGCCGGGGCGGTGGCGAAGCTCCTGTGGTCCCGTTCGTTCCCTCGGCGGAGCATTGGGGCCGCGGTCGTTGTTGTGGTTTTACCCTTCGGGGAAGGAACGCGGCCGGGCCCGCCCGGAGAATGAGCGGTTTGGTAACGGGACCCACCGGGGCGGCGGAGCGGGGCTGGGACCGGCGGGGCCCCGGGCGGTGTGGACGGCAGCGGGGCCGAGCCTGCGGGGCCGACGCCTCCCGGGGCCGGTCAGGAGAGTCATTTGGGAACCCGGCCACGGAGGTAACTGCACCGTTTCTGGCCACGAGTGGTGCGGACCCCGGGAAGGGAGCGCGGTTGGCAGCTGCCGAGGGTGTGCGGGGAGAAGGATCCGTTAATTTGGCAACTGGCGCTGCCTCGTTGGCACCATCTTCGCGCTCGGAACGGCTGACCGTGCCGCGGTGCACCGGAGCGACGGGAACGGCAGGGATGGTAACGATAATAATGACTAGCGACAATAATAAGTAATTAGTGGCAGCTTGGAAAGAGAAGGACGGAAGAGGCGCGACCCCCGGCGCGGCGCCGCTTCAGCACCACGGAGAGCGGCGGGGCCGGTGCCCGGTGCCCGGTTCCCGGTGCCCGATGCCGGTGGGAACGTGCTCGCCCCGCTCCTTGAGGCCACCGTTTGTGGTTGGGACTCCTGTCAAGGGCTTCCCCTACCCGGGGACCCTGGTAAGGGACAGAAAGCTCCTGAAGAGCCCCCGGTGCTTGCGGGTTGGCATCTCTGCAAGCGCCGCCGCGCATCGCTCCCAGAACCTTCAAGGGCGGATATTTATGTATGTATATGATGTATATCACGTATTTTATATCTGTTTAGGTGCTTACATATAAAAGGGCTGGTGTGGGCAGCGGGGGTCGGGGTGGACCCGTGCCTCGTTCCCGGAACCGGAGCTCTGCGAGCAGGAGCTGGGCCCCACCGCCCACCCGGACCCGCTGCTCTTGGTCCTCTCTGGAAGCGGAGCCCGCCCGGAGCTGCCCACAGCCGGGGCACCGGCACGACGCTGTACCTGGGGCCGGGGCCGCTGCTATGCTCGGGCCACCGGTTGGTTTCGTTTTCCGCCGTTTCACCAGAGCGAGGTGCGACGAAGCGGCCCCGGGAGGTCTGCGGCGCCCGGCGGGCCGGGGCAAGGCTGGGGGGCCCGAGGGTGCGGAGGAAGCTGGGGAGAGGCCAGGGTGTGCTGCGCAGGGGTGCGTGTGCGCGGGTTCTTGTGAGGGGCCGTAGGGCATCAGGACGAATGTGCCCATCGGTGTGAGCGCTCCTGCGGGTGCATCGGGGCTTGTGTTTGCACCTTCGTGTACTCCCGGGGGTGTGCACCGGCAGCCGGGCTCCCCTGGGTGGGAGAGCGAGCACGGGGTCACGGCTGTGCCCGCTGGTCCGCTCCCGGTGTGAGGCGGCTGCGGGTGCCGGGGGAAGTCCGCTGCCCCCATCCCCTTGCCGGTGCGGCCTCGCCGTTGCCGGGACAGAGGAGCGGGTCTCCTGAACCGGGCAGAGCCAGCCGGGCCCGGCCCCGGGCGGCCGCACGGGGGGGACGTGGAGCCGGACCTCGGCACAGAGTCCCGGGCTGTTCCCCGCCGCCCCTGCGAGCCGCGGCCCCTCTTTGTCCCGGGCCCGAGGGGTTCCTCTCTGGCCGTGGGGCAGAGCCGAGGCCCGGTTGGTCGGGGGACTCTGGCACCTCCCGGGATGAGGGGAGGGGGGGGGGTGTCGACCCCGGTTTTACGCCCAAAGAGCAGCAAAAAAAAGCTTAGTAAGTGGGGCCTGTGAGTGCAGATTCGACGGGAGGGTCCGGCCGCCCACCCCCGGCTGCTTCCCCGCCTAGGACCAGTCGGGTTTAACCCCTACCTTTGCCGGGGGGGGCTGTGCCACAGCCTTGCCACAACGGGGTTACCCCCGGGGCATCGCCGCCTCCCCGATGGGGCGGGCCGGGCGCTGCAGGAGGCTGGGTCGGGAGGGGGGGCGGCTCGGGGCGAGCAGACGGGCGGCCCCCGGGGACCGCGGCGCCATGGCGAATGGCGCTGCCCCCCCGGGGGGTGACCCCTGCCCCGGCCCCACGCCCGGCCTGTCCCAGCCCCGCCGCTCGCGCTTTGTCCCCGCCGGCCGCCCCGTCCCTCCTCCCGCCCTCCCCCGCCCTCCAGCCATCCCTCCGCCGACGGCTCTGCCTCAACTTTAGTGGCAGGTCCCGGAGGCGCCGGGGAGTGGGAGCGGGACCCACACCGGCACTGGCACCGGGCGGCATCATCCAGCCTCCCTCCCGGCCCGAGCCTCCTCCCTACCCTGCCACAGCCTGGGAAGGATGCGGCGACCCGGAGCCGACGGCGACCGCTGGCAGCACCGGCCACAGAGGGGAGAGCAGGTACCCACCTTCCCGGGACCCTTTCCCCGCACCCCTTCCCCTGTAGCCTCCCCTGTCCCCTTCCCGGGGTCCACTGTCCTCTCCCCGTCCCCCGCTTGGGACCGGGGGCAGCCTCTCCGCCGAGTTTCCCTCAGAGCTGCAGCACGGGCGGAGCCTCCCGGCTTGGGCAGTTCCCCGGGAGCATCCCCCCCGGTGCCCGGAACCGGTGCCCGGAGCCTCCCGGCCGGGGCGAATAATCCCTGCGGACAAGGGCAGGCGAGGACGGGGCCGCACGGGTGAGGGAAGGTGTTCCCCCACAGAGGACATTCAGAGCCCGGAGCCCCAGGACGTGCAGGTCCTTCCAGGGTGTGCAGGGCCGGGCTGCAGGGTGCAGGAGGCATGGGAGGGAGAACTGGAGGGTGCAGTGGAAACCCCCGGGGGGGCCCTTTTGGCTGTGCCTGTCCCTTCCCCAGCCGCTCTCATGACTCAGCAGTTCCGTACCAGTAATTTACAGTAACTGTAAAGTGGGAGTGGGCTCTGGGCTGGGTTTGGGGGTGAATTTGGAGCTGGGAAGGAAGCAGGTCCCTGGGCCGCAGGTAATGGGGATGGGTGCTGTGGGAGCATCCTGCCCTGCGATGGTCCCGGCGCCATGGGTGGAGACTGCTCTAGGGTGCAGGTGCCCTTTGGCGCGCAGACATCGAGTTGGGGAGCTTGGGTGGGCATCGGGGAGCGCCGGGGTCATGTGTTGCATCCCAAGGTGCCGCAGCAGATTCCTGCTCTCCCACCCAAACCACTGGGGTTTCTTCCTTGTTGAGGGGACGTGGATGCGGCCACCTTGGGGGGCTCCAGCATCGGAGCCAAACCACCCCCGGGTGCGCGGCGCGGCCGAGGCCCGTTGTTTAAAGACCTGGGTTGGTTTTTCTCTTTGGTTATCTAGCTGTATGAGTGTATGTGATATCATAAAGCTAGAGAACCGAATGTAAAAACCCACTCGCTGTTCTCCGGGAGAAGAGCCCTGCCCTCCCGGCAGGATTGGGGCTCGGCAGCCGCCTTTTGGCCTTCCCAAAGCGCTGGCCCTGGTGCCTTGGTGAGGGGGAGAGCCGCTGGAAGCCGAACGTGGCTGTGGAGTGGAAATTTCAGTGGGGTTTTGTCTGTAATCATTTTTATTGAGGCCAAGAGCCAGTGCCTGTGCTGGGGTGATTATTTGATTCCAACCTGGGGCTCCTCAGGCTACCTACAAACCCCAGACCTTGGTTTTATGGATTTTTAGGGGTGTTTCTTCCACTGTGGTTTTAATTTCCATGCTGACGATTAAGCTCCTCGTGCTGGGTGTATTGGAGAGAAATGAAACGGGGCCAGCTCGGAAATAACCCCCAGAGAAACCCTGTTTATAACCCAGTGGAAGGAAAGTTGCTTAAACATATTACCACATGCAAATTGTAATTTAGCACAAACCCCTATCCAAGGCCGATTTATCTACTGGGGAAGAGAAATAAATCATCACTGGCTGGTTATTCTGCATCTGCAGAGAGATTGCAGCTTTGTTCTTTGGAGAGGGGGGTTTGTGAGCATTGCTTTGAGGATACTCCAGTCTCGGCCTCCCCCTGGTCCCGCTGATGCAGGATTCAGCCCCAATGGCTGAGGCTGTAAGTGGTGACCCAATGGGCTGAGCGGTCCCCAGTTATTCTTAGGAAGCTCAGGGAAGGTTCTCAGGTGCATGGATTTGGGGTGCAGCCTGGAGCAAGCAGCAAGGAGGCCCCTCCATGACTGCGGAGTCTGGCTCTGAGCTCTCAGGCATTCGGCAATGGTCAGTGGGGAGGCTTCGAGATGGACCCAAGCACCCATGTACTTAAACCATCACAGGTCCTGACCATGCCAGGGCACCCTCCGCACTCCTGCTGGAGACAGGCACTGTGCAAGCTGCAGGGCACATCCTCTCCCATATCACTTCTTGGGTCTTTGGTGCATTGATTCCCTGGCTGGTTTGGTGCCGAGAAATGAGAAGGGCAAGAGCATCAGCTCCAAATATTAAAAGCCCAAGGTGCTGATCCCTTGCTCCATCTGCACATCCTGGCTTCTGTGTGGGGTTGTGCCTCTTTTTTCACCCGATGTCGCTGGAGTCTGCAGCAGGGGAGGAATTTGGGGTGTCTCCTTCCTCTTGTCTTGACAGGTTTTGCTTTGTTCAGGCAGGAGAGAGGCAGGTTTCTTGTCCCA